CATCAACCCCCCCCCCCCCCACTCTCTCTCTTCGTCTCTCTCTCTCTCTCTCTCTCTCTCTCTCTACCAAAACGATGTCGCAGAGCTCACCGCCATCACCGCCAGCACCGCCATTGATACCCTCTGAACCTCAGCACCATTCTTTCTCCTTCAAAACCCTAAGCCCAAGCCTCCTCATAATCCTCCTCATCCTCGCCGTCACGGTCGTCGCCTCAATCTCGCTCTGCTTCCTCCTTCGCCACCTCAACGGCCGCTGTCTCCGCCGCCTCGCCCCGTCCTCAGCCGGGTCAGCACCAGCCGAGTCGCGTCGAATCTCGACTCGCCGAGTCAGCCCCGACAACGCAGCCTCCCTCCCTCTCTTCACCTACTCCGCCATCACCCGCCGGTCTTCCGCTACCGTCTCAGCCGACTGCGCCGTCTGCTTGTCGAAGTTCGAGCCGAGTGACGAGCTCCGACTCCTCCCTCTCTGCTGCCACGCCTTCCACGCCATATGCATCGACACGTGGCTTCAATCGCACCAGACGTGTCCTCTGTGCCGCTCCCCGATCGCCGCCTCCGACGCCGAGCTCATGTCGCTCGTCTCCAATGCCGGCGCTGCGACGATGAACAGCGGAAGCTTCCGTCTGGAGATCGGAAACGTAAGCCGCCGCAACCGAACGACGTCGGATGAGAGCTCCATTACGGCCGATGTTAATCGCCGGTCCTACTCGATTGGTTCATTCGAGTATGTCGTCGAGGACGAGTCTTCGGAGGTGCGGTTGAGCAATGCGCAGAAGGAAGACGTCATTTTGGTGATCGCCGAGCCACCGGAGCCACCATCGCAATCTTCAGAGCCGAGCCTAGCCGCCGCGGTAGGCTCGGGGAGGACTAGTTGGCTTAAAGACTACATCGACCGCCTATCGAGCTCTCTATCTTCTCGTGACATATCATTTCGCAGCTCGGGGAGATTTTTCACCGGAAGCAGCCGCCGTAGTGAGGCTTCCATCATCGGAGATTGGAGCTTGGAGTCTGGCCGGGTCGGGGAGGAGATATCAGAGATGTTCCGTTGGCTATCAGGGGTGTAACGGTAAATAAAGGTGAAATCCCCAATTTTGCTAGCTGACGTGGACTGAGTAAAAAATTATGGGTGGGTAAAACTGAGAATAAAGCCATCCGTACCTTTTTCTGCACTGTACATAGGGTGAAGAAGATACAAGGAGAGCTTTTTACCAGGACTATGATTCTTGTGCGGTAATATTAGTTTTACTGTTTGGGTAAAAAAAAGAATTATGTAGTAGTTAATTTCCTTCATATGATTAGAGATTGTGATTGAAACAAGAAGGTTTAGAATATTTGGTTGTGTTTGACAATTTTTTTATTGGGATTTGATTGAAGAAAATAAAAGAGGTTAAAGGCAGCCAAATCAGTGCAGAAAGAAATAGGTATGTTTCATACTTGTTCTGGAATATTTGCTTTACATAGTCACCCAAAAAGAGCAAACAAAAGACGAGTAAATTGGTGAAACAAAGAGAGAGAGAGGCCAAACAGATTTGGTTGCTTTGGAAAACTTTTTGGTTGGTTTCCTTCTTTTTATCCTTTTATGTGCAAAATATAATCCACAAGCTTGTGCAGAAAAGTTTGTGGTAAATTAAGGAGTGTTGTTGTTGTAGTTTTTCGGTTGCGCATCACAAACTGAGTGGTCCAAAATGAAACCAAAGCTCCTCACTTCATCTACTAGGAAAATTTGGAGTGTCACATGAGGTTGATTGGACGAGAAGGTTCTAACTTTACACACTTGTTTGACTTGTGCATTTGTTTTCTTTTCATTGTCTTCTGTATGATAACACAAGATATTGCCTTTATGTCTTCTTATTAACTCCCATGTTTACGACAAGAGTTCGATTTTAGGTATTTTCTCACGGATTATAACAGGAGTGCTGAAAATCTGCTTGATCGAAGTCTTGATATTTTTTGAACGTTTAAAAAATTAATTATTGACGGTAAAATCAATCAAGGATATTTTCTCATTGCCTTTTAGGTCTTGCTTTCTTTTGATTTGATTTTGATTTGAAATATGCAGCATATGAGGCCAATTAATTTGTCTCACATATGACGATGCAGTGAAGCATAGAAATAGTAATTTCAGTAGTTCCAAAATGATTGATATGTGGCCAAGCATAAATCTCCCACTATATATTGTTGCAGAATAAACCAAATTTGGAAATCTAGTTCTTTGTTGAATAACATGGATAAGAAGCTTTTATCCACTCACCACACAAGAGGAAAAAGTCAATAAGGAATTGGACCCTATGTCCGGAAGCAGGCACCTACTAATTTGAGGAAAAGCCAAAGGCTTTAAAGTTATGTAATTCATATATGTAGTTGGAATTACAATAACTGAAATTAATTTTACATCTCATACAAGTGCAAATGTCTTATCCAAAATTGATTACTATTTTCTTGGTTGAGAGGTGCGATAACATATTAAACTCACACACACTATATGGATGTTAGGACTCGAACCCATGACCTTTTTTGAAAGAGCAATTGCTCTAAATCACTATACTAATGGGTGCTTTATGAAAATTTATTAGTATTAAAAGAGAAAAAAAGTTGTTAAAATTCTTTTGTGAAAAGAAAAAAGAGAGGAATAAATGGGTTAAGGAATAAATATGTTTCAGTTTGCAATATTAATAGTGGGCAGGTGATGTCCATGACCATGACCACTGTCTTTAAGCCATCTGAGTCTTAACTTGGAAAAAATGTTTTCTGGTCCAACTTTGGTTTACATGAAAATGTATACTTGCTCTTGCATGAAGGAAAATTGAACACAAAATCAAGTAACAAATTAAGAGCAATTTTTTTTTTTTTCTTTTTCAAAAGAACTTAAAGATTACTCCAAGTATATATGCCAAGCAATAATCTTTTTAGCAACAAGATAAAATCAACTGAAATAGTACACTTTAGTTCATCATATCTAACATTCATGGGAGACTGGGTTTGGTCAATAGGAGGGAAAAGCTCAAGGCCATCCTACTTTTCACTGTTTGTTTAATTAGGGAGCCTAATCTGAAGGTAAACAATATGCTAAAGTACTAAATTGGATTGCTTTCTCAAGACTCAATGTGTGTGCAAGGCAGTGTTCAGAAGATGTCAATTTAAAAGATCAAATTTGTATTTGATGGCTTAGTTGGAAATTTGACGTTTTTATCTAAATTCCTTTCTATCCGATGTGTTAAATATTTGAGTTATTTTATTATAGTCTATTAGAGTTCGGATCAAATGGATATTTTAAAGAGGCTAGCACTAGCGGCAATTGGATTAAGTATGATGGATGTAACGAGTTTGTCACTCATAAGTCTTCAAAATCTATTAATAATATAAAATAAACTTTTAAAAGGGTAAAAAAGGCAACAGATATACTACTCAAGGTGATCACATAAATCATCATTATTTTTTCTTATAGAAATAGACTTTTATTTAATTAGGGCAAACCTCATGGTAGCAATACATCTAACTGCAGCCATGAAGGGCCATCTTCAATCCAAACAGAAACATTAGGAAACACAAGTGCATGCTTCACAAGAAGGCGAAGCTGCCAATTACAAACACTTCAAGTATAGGAACAAATTACATGATTCATTTATTATGCATCACAAATTTATTAAGACTTGAAATTAACAAGGGCCTTCCATTTCACATGAGAAATTAAAGGACCAACTCAAGCATCGTCCAACATGAATATTGCTTCAACTATTGGGGAAGTGCCATAGCCAGTTGAGATAGTTGAGAAGCATCCACCCCATTTCTCACTTTTGTAGGTGCCAGATTTATCCACATAATCATAGATTAGGGGGATCCAACCCACATTATCCAAATAGTGTTCAGCAGTTCGGCTCTCAGTAAACACCTGTACATGTACAAGATCAAGTAACAATCTAGCTAGGTATATATTTATGTTGCTCGCTAAAGGACATATACAAATTTTATAAGTACTCCAGTACCACGCTATAATTACTTCACAAATATAATCTGTACGCAAAATAACATACCTTGTTTTTATAGGCAACCCTATTGTTGCTCCATGCCAGCAGCCGGCCGCGGTCTTCTCCGTCCTTGTTCTTGCCGTTGTACACAACAGTGGCAACAGATCCTTCAGGCGTTCCAAGTTTTTGGACATGCAGAAAGGCACCCCACTGCCCATTTGCAATGAGTGTAGGGTAGGGGAAGTGTCCAATGTGCCCACACCAGTCCTTACTTATAGAATAGGTTAAGGTGTCCCCAGTCGCATTGTAAATAAGGCAAAGTGTAGAAATTCCATCACCATGCTGCTTCTTCAAATTCTCCACAAACGTAAGGGCTTTGAGGTCCTTGTCCCCGACGTTTTTCATTTGCAGAGCCACTTTTGCCCTGTCATTTCTTTCTATTGCCTTTAACTTGTACTCCGGCATCCCCTTCAACGTTGAGTTTTCGATGGGGTTGCCGAACACATTATACGCCATCTCTCTCTCTCTCTCTCTCTCAGAGTCTCAGCTATGTCCCATGACCATGGCCCTTGTCTTAATTGAAGCTAGCCATGAGTCTTAACTAGGAAAAAAGGTTTTCTTGCTCAAAGTTGTTTTGTGTACTTGCAACTCTTACGCTTGCATGAGGGAATATTGAATACATAACCAATTGCCAAATTTAGAGTAATTTTTCTTTTCAAAAGAACTTATTAAAGATTACTCCAAGTATATATGCCAAGCAGTAACCTTTTAACAACAAGACAATTGTACGTACTAGAATCAATAGGAGAGGGAAAAGCTCAAGGCCACCCTAGCTACTTTTCACTGTTTGTTTAATTAGAAAACTTAATATGAAAGTTAACAACGCTAAAGTACTAAATTGGATTGCTTTCTCAAGGCTCAATGTGTGTGCATGGCAGTGTTTAGCAAATCAGAGGCTAAATAAACCAAAGAAGAGAGGGGAAAAAAAAAAAACCTTTAGTAATGAAAGCATTAAAGTATTCGACTGTAGATATGGTATATGAGGCGAGGTTTTCTATTTAAACCCCGCACTTCTCTTTGTTCACCCCAATACTTAAATCATTAAGCTGTAAGTTTTATTATTATGTAAAAAGACAGAAAAGGTCATCCAACTTAATAATTAACCCTAGTACATCTATACACACACCCCACAGACCCCACCACTATTCATATTAAGTTTTAGAAACCTCCTTCTAACTTCCTGTTTACAAACTCTCTCTCTCTCTCTCTCTCTCTCTCTCTCTCTCTCTCTCTCAAGTTCTCAACTCAACAATACTCAAGTGTTAGAATTCCAGTTACAATTCTTGGAGAGAGGTAAAACTGTTCTCTTTCTCTAGAAAGTATTAAATTTCAGATTTGAGGTTTCATTTGTTTGTGTTTTTTTTTTGTTGGGAACAAAGAAAATTGTGGGGTTTGAATAGAAAATATCTTTTAGTTCTTATTTTTTCAGTTTGGGGTGTATTTAAGGGTAGTTTGGGAAGATAGTGGGGTTTTCTTAGAAATTGTAAAAATTTAAACTAGAAATTGGGGTGAACTTAGAACATGGGGTGAACTAAGAGAACTGTGGGGTTTAAATAGAAAATCTCTATGAGGCGAGCTGCTTTCTTAAAAAAGGGATGGGCTATAATTTAATTTTCCTGAATTGAGCTTACACAACTAAGTCTGATTTGTCTCTCTCCACTCTAGCCCAAGCGTGGATCCACCCTTGTGTATCATGAATTTCTTAAAGTTTCTTAGAGTATCTTTAAGGGAGAAATTAAACGGAAATTTTTTTAAATTTGAATTTGATAAACTAGGTGCAATTTGAATTCTTCTTTTTTAATTTTTAGCTCCACCCAAAATTAATGTCAAATACCATTTATTTTTCTTTTATTATATCAATATTTAAAAATAATAATATAGCATTTGACATCAAGCTTTATGAAAATGTCAATTTTAACATTCCTCTTCGCTTGTTACTTTCAAATTTATGTAGAATTTGATTACTTGATTTATGTAATAGCATAGGCTTAAAATTTTAACATTCCTTTCGCTTGTTACTTTCAGATAAAAGGAGGGATGGCTTTTATTTAATGAGGGTAAACCTCAGGTAGGAATACATCTAATAACAGCCATGAAGGGCCATCTTCAATCCAAACAGAAAAGATTAGGAAACACAAGTGCATGCTTCACTAGAAGGTGAAGCTGCCAATTACAAAACACTTAAGTATAGGAACAAATTACGTGATTTATGCATCCCAAATTTATTAACACTGGAAATTAAGGGCCTTCCATTCCACATATGAAAATTAAAAGACCAACTCAAGCATCTTCCAACATGAATATTGCTTCAACTATTGGGGAAGTGCCACTGCCAGTTGAGATAGTTGAGAAGCATCCACACCCCATGTCTCACTTTTGTAGATCCCAGAGTTATTCACATAATCATAGATTAGGGGGATCCAATCCACATTATCCAAATAGTGTGTAGCAGTTCGGCTCTCAGTAAACACCTGCACATATACAGGTTTTATAATTACTCCAGTACTGCACTATAATTACTCAACAAATATAATCCGAACCAAAATAACTTACCATGTTTTTACCAGCAATCCCATTGTTGCTCCATGGCAACATCGATCTATAATTACTCAACGAATATGTCCGAACCGAAAATAATCTACCGTGTTTTTATAGGCAATCCTACTGTTGCTCCACTCCAGTAGCCGGCCATGGACCTGACCGTCCTTGTTCATGCCCCTGTACACAACAGTGGCAACAGATCCTTCAGGCGTTCCAAGTTTTTGGACATGCAGGCACCCCATTGCCCATAGCGGGAGGGTCCAATTTGCCCACACCAGTCCTTACTTATAGCATAGGTTAAGGTCTCCCCAGTCCCATTGTAAATAAGGCAGCGTGTGGAGATTCCATCACCATGCTGCTGCTTCAAATTCTCCACAAATGTAATGGCATTGAGGTCCTTGTCCCCGACGTTTTTCATCTGCAGAGCCACTTTTGCCCTGTCTTCTTGCACTTGTACTCCCGCATCCCCTTCAACGTTGAGTTTTTGATGGGGTCCCCGAACACATTGTACGCCATATCTCTCTCAACTATGTCCCATGACCACAGCCCCCTTGTCAATGTAAGCTAGCCATGAGTCTTGACTAGGAAAAAAGGTTTTCTTGCTCAAAGTTGTCTTGTGTACGTGCAAGTTACTCTTACGCTTGCATGAAGGAATATTGTTCAGAACCAATTGACAAATTTAGAATAGTTTTTCTTTTCAAAAGAACTTATTGAAGATTACTCCAAGTATATATGCCAAGCAATACGTACTAGAATCAATCGGAGGGAAAAGGCCACCCTACTTTCCACTGTTTGTTTAATTAATTAGAAAACTTAATATGAAAGTAAACAACGCTGAAGTACTAAATGGGATTGCTTCTCAAGGCTCCATGTGTGTGCTTGGCAGTGTTCAGAAAATAATAATAACAATAATAATAATGTGTCAAGAATTTCCATTTTTAAGCGAGAATGTTAAACGTAAAAAGTGTTAAATTTGGAATTGATGGCCTAGGTGCAATTTGACATTTTAAATTTTTTTTTAGCTCAACTCGAAATGTCAAATACTTTTAGGTTTTAGACATAAAAAAATTTTCACTTTTGGAAAAAGCCAAAGTTTTTTAAAAAAAGACAAAAAAACCACTCAACTTTCAAATCAAAGACATGCAAATGTATTGGATTCCTTAGGAAATCTAAAAATAAATAAGGGCATTTTTGTCCATTTTTGCTTCTTTTAAAATTTTTTTCTCTCCTTTTGCTTTTTCCAAAATGTCCCACATTATTTTATTATATTAATATTTAAAAATAATAATATAATATTTAACATCAAACTTTATGTAATGTCAATTTTAACATTTCTCTTATCACGTTCAAATTTATGTAGAATTTGATTACTCAATTTATGTACTAGCTAGCATATAGGCTTAGAATTCTGGATATAATGCCAGCATGCAAATCTTCAGCTCATTGATGTCTCAGACTCTCAAAGGACTGGACTGGTAATAGGAGAGTGAGGGAGAGTAATTGAAATCAGGTGTGCTGCACCCTCCAACCCAGCACAACATTAAAGTTTGGAGATTGAAAGCCTGCAACCACCACATTAAAGGTGGAAATGAAGAGCCATCTGGACATGGAACAGGAAAAACAGTGAAAAGTTGAACCCAATATTTATATGTTATGGAAACTTTTACCAAAAAAATCCAAGTTTAAATATAATGGTGGCAGTACTTCTCTCACTACTCTATCTATCTTTGCTTCTGTGGGACTCCTGGCATGCTTCTCAAAACCAGCTGTTACTCTTTATTTAATGAGAAGCCTCTGACTGTCATATGTTTAAAACTGTTCAGCAATGACTTGTATGATTAAGAGTATTTACCCATGCACCCAACACCAGAGATCCTAGATTGGATTTCTCCTCCCCCGATATCACTTGTATAAAATTAAATAATAAAAAAACTGTTCATGGCCCTTTGAAGACACATCCACATTAAGCATGAATGATACACCAACAAGGGTGCTGTTAAAACTTGTTTACCAAGCACTTATGTAAAAAGTTATACCCATAAATTTCTTACCACACCCACCAAAAACTTTTAATACCATT